ACAAGCACTGACTTAACTTGGGTGGAGTGAAGCAGCTGCTGAAGCCAGTCCAGAAGCAGACAAGCTGTCACTGCCCAGCTTGTGAGCTTCTCAAGGTTTCTTGCTGCCTCCCAGCTAGACAATGCCTCCTTTCTCAACCAAGCCTGTTTGCTGGCCCAGGAGGCTGAACCAGAGCCCCCACCCATGGTTTCCACTGGCAGCAATGTACCCTGGGCATCAGGGACATGGACCAGGGCCTTCTCTCTGGCGCTCTACCCGCTCCCACAGCAAGCAGAGACCAGGCTCCCTGGGATACTCTCACCACTCCTCAGCTTCGGCTTCCAGCCTGGTCAAGGGTAGGGTTCCATGCGCAAGTGGCAGACAGGACCACAGTTTTAGTACCAGTGGCCCACCCACTTCCACCCAGGTCCCTCCTTCAGGAACCCCCATAATGACCAAGGCTGCTGTGCACAGGCCCTGTATACTAATCTGCCATTGCAGCCAGTAGGACACTGTTACGCAGCCAAAGAAAAGGTATAGCCTAGACAGGTGCACTATAATGATAGCTGTTCAATAGCAGCTCCAAGAACGTCAAGAGAACTGATTTTAAAAATAGTTGAGACACAGTTTGTTACTTCCAATTCTTATTCTACTGATTTCATTATGGTATTTCTCATCCTCTGTTAATTTTGAATATCTTTTTCATTTCCCACTGAATCAGCCTAGAAAGTGTTATTGTTCTCTTACAATGTTATTAGCAGGGAAACCATATACAGTTTGTTTTACTGATCCTTGTGGGCACTTCAGAAACACTAAAGGCCAGATTGAAGTGAATGAGACTACTCATGTGAATAACAGCTCACCAGTGTGAGCAAAGGGGTCACAATCCCTTCCATAATGGTGGCGCCAGACAAAAGAACTGAATAAGTTCATACATACAGGAGTCTGGTCAGAGAGAATGAATTACGAATGAGGCGTAAATTTCACAACCACAACATTCATGTAAGAATTCAGTTTCATTTCAAATGCATAACTTGATCCACCCTTTGTTCTCTTCAGGACCCACCACAAGGTGAAAGACAAAGCAGAATCTCCACCAAGTATAAACATTTAATTCAGTCATACAGTCTCCTCAATGAATATATAGAAATATGCAGCTAGACTTAATTTATCAATAAAACTCCTTTTTCCAAATGTATTTTAGTGTGCAATCTGCTGGATTAAAACTCTAAGAAAAAATGTGTTGCATCCTTTAAAACACATATTTTCAAACTATAAATCATCTTTAAGCAATCTATTTACATACAAAAGGATAAAAGTGTGAGTTTTTCCCCATAAAAACTGGCAGATTTGATAATACCATGACTGCTGAAGGAAGATTACAAAACTTAATAAAAATCTTCCCTCAAGCTTCATAGCAGGTGTTAATAATATGCAGCATTTACTATATGAGGAACTTGATGTTTCTGCTTTCTGCATACAAATAAATTTGTCATTCAGCCAATTCTGTTTACTTGCTTATGCTCCAGAGGCCTCATGTGGCTGGCGACCACCATAAATTGCTGACATTTGTTAGCACTTGTGAATAGAATGACTGTATGCTTTAACAGGCCCATATGCTTTAACAGGCCCATACCACTGTGTGACAGTTTGATGGGAAACTGATCTTTCATCCATAGATGCATGTCTGGCAGAATGATTGAATAGGGCCTGAGTGCTTCTTCCAGGAAAGAAAAAAGGACACAAAGCACTCGAGACCTGACGAAACAGAAACAGTTTCTCGTTTTATAAATTTTATGCACTCAAAAGAAAAGTTCTGGAGAACACTAAGACTATGAAAATATGGATTTAGAGCCACCAGAGAATGAGCTTTCAACAACCTGCAAAATTATGTAGTGAAGAGTACAGTAGTTCTGCTCTGTTCTGGAAGGTGAGAATGAATTGGTATGTTGTTATTCATTCTAATTCAAGACAATTTTGTAGGGTCTTTTATTTTTAACTTGCATTCATGAAATATCACAAAAACCTTATCTGACTTCCTAGTTGTAGCTATTTTTTTCTGAATAATATCATGGCCCTACATTCTAATTTGTAACCCTTTTAAATTTTGAGATATTTTCTATACTTTTACATAACTAGAGCAGCTATTCTATGTGGACAGAGGAGGTGAAGAAGGGTCTGTCCTTATCATAACTACCAGTCTTGTTGCATTACAACAATGATATAGCATTACATATAGTGTGGAGGAAGGGGAATAAATCAAGTCTACTGTATAGGACCATGGATTTGGGAGGGGGGGCAGAGGAGGGTAGAAGAACAGACGTAGCTGTAAAATATATTTTTGGATAATAGCTTCAAACCTGGCCTCCAGTTTTGTGACCACTATTTGCAACAAAGGGAAATAACTGCGGTTTGTGTGATATTGCATTATGGTAAGCGTGACTGAATATAAACACTGTAGTTGATATCAGCTGTAGCATTCTCTTGGGAAATGTAAGGAAAGCTGCACCTTTTTACAGCAATTTTCTCTCTCCCTTTCTCCCCATGGAGTCCCCCCGCATTGATGATCTGTGTGGGAAGAGGAGAAGCTAGAGAGGGTGTGTATTGCATTTCTATGCACCTGACAAGGAATGCCCTTGCCTGCAGAATCCCTGGCAACATTCTTTGAGAGCCACATATTAGGGATGGGTGAGAAGCTGTTGGGGTCATGGTGTTGGCGCAAATGAAAAGGGCCTCCACGGACAGTTGCTCCTCACTTATTTCTGTTTCCTGAGGCTCATAAGTAGGCCCAACAGCCAATGAAGAGTAGGAAAACATTTCTACTGGAACAGTAAAAAAAATAAAATAAAAAAAAAAAAAAATCCCCACACTCTTTAAGGACAGAATTTTCTCCTAAGGATGAGAGTGTGATTGGTCCAACATAAGCCTATACTGTAGTGAGTAACTGTTGATAAATACTGGCTCATGAAATATGACTACTATGTGAGAAATCATGCTTATGATAAGCACTATGGCAAGGGCCAGTAGGAAACATGGGATATTCAAAATTTCATTTAAACCATATAAGCCCAGAGAAGGCAGAGTTCTGGTGGCTTATAAGGTTCAGACTGGTTTACAGGAAATAATGCCACCAGTAGCTAGCTGATAAATTAATTTCATTGTCATTAGGATTATTTGAATCTTGAAGCCATCTTGCCCCCTTAAGCTTCATTTAAATACTGTTATCTGGAGATAATAATGTTTGCTCACAATGTTTTAATGCTTCTCATTATTGTGAAAGAGCAACAAACCACTATTTATTCACATCAAACATGGGGAACTAGACCACTGCCATCCCTTTTTGTGTGTGTGGTACTACGGTGTGTAAGACCAAGGAAAGATTTCAAAACAACATTGAGAGCTTCTAGAACCAGCAAACACGAAGAGCATCATGTCCTCTCTAGGTATCCTCACTAAATGGCAATTGCCAAAGCTCTCCCCCATGTGGTTCTCTGGGACGATGCTGTGGAAATAAATGTGTATTGACTGAAAACTGAAGAACAGTGTAGTTGGGATGTTTTGTCTAGCCTTGCTACTTTTGTATTTATTAACATAGGTCTCAAAGACAGCCATTGTTACCCTAGAAAAGGGGGCTATATTATAGTTTGGTTCAGTGGGTTCCATTTTGAAAGAGACAGTTCCTTTTCTCTACATGATGGAGGTTTTCCCCCTCAAACTGTTAATTTGCACACGGTACTACCTTGTGCACCCCTCTCAAACAGGCTGTGCACCCGTTACTATCTGGTGAACTCAGCACCAAAAGAGGTGCACTCAGCACCAAAACCGCTGCACACAGCCCCTAGGAAGCTGCACTCAACACCTAGGTTCATTAGCATACTTTTCCTACCTTTGGGCCAATAAAGCCCTGAGGTATCAAGGGCTCGGGTCCTTGGATATTCCCCAGCCTTGGATCTACTCATTCGTTGCTCCTCTGTATTGTTTGCCTGAAGCTTGGATACCATCTATGTAATCAGAGGCCTGGACTTTTGAACTGTGCTACCCTTGTGTGGTAAATACCCACAAGGTTTTTCCTGTTTGCATTGGTCACTGGAACCGGGACTCTCTTTTCCTATCATCTTCATTGGATTACCCTCCTACTGGATCAGACGGTGTTGTCGAAGGACGGATCAGACTGTGTCCAGAGGGGATTTTTTTCCAGATCGAGGAGCCATATCGGGGTCGTCTCTTCACAGAGGACTCACTACCGTGGGATCTCCCTGCTTGTCCTCCCCAGAGGCTTACAAATAGCCCGAGGGTTGAAGGTCGCAGGCATCGATCGCCTCAGGCTTTGTATATACCTTATGTATCTAGGGAACTGTTCTATCTCCTTTCTTCAGGTTAGGGAGGGTTGGTTTGTTGAAACTTGCTGTTAACTGTATATCTGTTCCACTAGTCTACTCAAATACATGGTTTGGCCCTAAATTGTGTATGCCTGATTTGTGGCTAGAGATCCACCGGTGATTAGATATGGCTCTCAGGTCGGATCTTTCTTCTGTGTAGGGACTCCTTCTCCCCATTTTATATCCTCACCATTGGCCACTTTTATTCTAAATTGCTTGTCCACGTCCCTAGGGCAACAACATGTTCATGATTAGCTGGATATGGGCCAACTATTTTGACTAATTCTTCTGGTGTTTTTCTTGTAATTATACAATCTACAAGAAAAAGCGGCCTACTTGTAAGCCAACTGTCCCATGGTAGAATGCAAACAGGAACTGATCACTTTCTGCTTTGAGGTGGTAAAAGTTGAGGCACTGACTTAGGCATAGCAGAACCTGGCAGAGGCTGACATTCACATTCGCTGAGGAGTTCACAAGTGAAAAGCTCCAGAGGCACTTCCTTATCTGTCACACAGCCAGCTGTCATGGAAGTGGCCATGAAAAAGAAAATGCTCACTTCTACATCTGAGCAAGGAAGTGAAATTCTTTTAGGGAAAGGACTTGATATAGAATAATTGTTGGATTCTTGGTTCAAACTCTTACCTCTTCAGATTTGGCCCTTAGCAGGAAAATGCCATATGCCACACACATAAATATAAGCTCAATCATAAACGCTGGCTGTACTCTACCACTCCACTTCATCCACAGAAGATTGAAATATAGAATAAAGAGCTAGTTTCTGCCCTGTAGGGTAAAAAGATAACACAATTCAAAGTCATGGCATTTTAACATGTAGAAAAGCTGTCACTGGCCCACATCTCAGTCCTGTTCATCCCGGGCACAGGAAAAAGTAATTTAGATTAAGAAATACCGCATTGTGGGAAGGAGTTCCATGACAAATTATTGGGGAAAAATATAGCTCCCTAAAACTCCTCAGGGATTAGAATGTTCAAATAAGTTCTAGGGAGATGGTTCAGCAATTTACCATGACACTGGAACATATCAGCTGCTATCTCCTCCATATCAGTGGTGTGTGTATAACTCTACATCTGTATACCTAGACAGTACCTACACACATTTTTCAAATATAAAACTATCAAGGGAAATTGAAGCATGCATGCTTGCATGTACCCCTCCACCCATGTACTTACAACAATTAGAAATGGCTACTAAATGGAAAGCATCATCACAGCAGTAGCAGAAGAAAAAAACGACTGAGTTTTTCCTCATAATTTTAGTTGGTGTCAATCAAGATGATCTATGCATTTCAACCCATTTTTATCTACCCCTAGAGTCAGACAGGATGCAATGATAAGAATGTGTAGAGGTTTACATTCAACAGTGACTTTTCCAACTTCCAGATCAGGAACTGTCTCCACTCACTCCATCAGTCAAAACAAGCAAGAAACAACTATACATTTGTCAAAGCATATATATTGTATAACAGAGTTTGACTGAGTGGAATAGTCTTGTAAGTTATCCTTTTAACCTGTAACTGCATATTGGTGCATGAATTTCTGAATACCCAGAAAACATTTTTCCCATTGGTATTCAGACATCTTGCCAAAGAGGGTTGTTATTTACGCCATTCAGCACATTTATTATTTGATTCATCCATCCCTATGACACAGGACTATTCATTAATAGAGCTTGATTCTTTTTTCTTGAAGTCAAGACAAAACTAAATAATTTGTGGCTGTTGTGGGAGAGAGAGACTGCAGCTTTTGATAAGTGGGAGACAGCTTCATTTCCAGTCAAGCTTAGACGCAGCAAGAAAACAAAGCTTCCTATAGCACGGAAAAGCTGTCTACCCAAACAGGGAAGATAAGAGTGAGGAATCCATTCTAGTGAAGGTAGACAGCACAGAGTGACTTATACCTCTAGAGGAAATTATAGATGGTGAATAATTACACAATGCTCAAGACAAAAGACTGATCAAGTAAACGTGGCCCATGTAAGACCAATGATTTAGTGTTTCCAAATCAAAAGTAATAGCTGAGCCTGGAAACTATATATAGTCATAAATGCCTTATTTCAGGGTATCTGGGTAACTTTAGCTTCACAATCAGCACCCTCCATAAGAGAGCATGTGTGTGTACATATTACATGGACAGATACACACACAAATGGAATTGTTTTAAGCCTTTTTTCCCCACTCTCTTGGTAATTATAAATCAGGATGGATTTCTTCTAGATGTGTTGGCAGTGTACACCATATCCTGTCTCCTCTTACAAATTTTTCACATTACAATGAGCATCACGGAGAAAATAATTCACTTCATTTTGTTTAGAAATGGCAAAAATTAAAGCCATTAAGTAATATGAACTGTATTGTTAAGATTAACAAATTGTCTGAAATGCTAATTTAGCTTGCATAAATCAACTCGCTCTACATACATGCAGTTTCTAAGACACTAAAGCACTGTTGTATCACTTGCTTTGGGCACAAAATCAAATCTGTGGGGATAAAATATTCTTTTGAAGCCAATTAGAGGGACCCAGAGCCCAGTAGGGATTCAAAATTCAATTTAACTGGTTAACTGGTCCACCTTGTTGCCCTGCTGCCCCCAGTGTGATGAGCCTGGCTGGGTGCTGCAGGTGGGAGGCTGCCCTGGCCAGGTGCCCGTTAATTGGTTACCAGTAAGCATCACCCAGTAAGGGTGATATTAACCGGTTATCCTTCTCCATCCCTAGAACCCAGTGTGCTGATGTCTTCATGGGGGCTAGTGAAACGGAGGGATTCTCTTAGAGTGAAGTACTACTCCACTGAGCCTGCTTTAGCCCACTGGATGAAATAACTGTATGTAGCACACCACACATCTATTAGAAGAGATAGGGACTGAATGATCCATGCAGCAACCACTATGCCCTAAGACTGCCCCTTCCCCAGCCTATGTAACCTGCTATGGAGGGTATATGTACTTTCGTAAGGATGGTACATTTACCTAAAGCAAACTATTATAATTTTGCATTATTTGTATTTTTGTAGTGCCTTCTAGCTCTAGTGTACAAGAACTCCATAATGCTAGCTGAAGAATAAACACAGAGCAAAAAGACAATCCCAGGAACTATCAGTCTAAGTATAAAGACACATCAGCATTCCATCACTCTAACTGTGAAGGGCTTGAAAGAGGATCATCAGGCAGCTTATGGGGAGCCACTCCCAAGCTCAGAGGGAAGTTTGGCCGAAAATAAAAAATGTGCTTGTTTGAAAAATTCAACAAGTGGGCAATAGAAGCCAACGTCATGGGTTGAACAGACGCATGAGGCAATGTCATGGGTGTCTCAAAACCTGTGCATCATGCAAGTCCCACATAAGCCTTCAGAATAGCATTGTAATATAGGCTATGTCTACACTACAGCGTTATTTCAAAATATCTTATTTCAAAATAGTTAATTTGAAATAAGTTATTTCAAAATAACGTGTCGACACACAAAATGAATTTCGAAATAGCTTTTTGCTATTTCGAAATAGCACGTCCACATTGAGTGGATGCTGAATTGCATTTAAGGACGGCTAGAACCGGGTCCGGCAGAGCATCAGGTCAGGAGTTACTTTGTGTGGCTGCTGCCTGAGGCTATCTGAGGCCTGTGCTTAGAGTGACCCCTCTTGGACAGCTGGTTCTCACGTTTCCCTGCTTGCGTGCTTACCTCGATGAGGGACAGCAAAGCATTTTGTCTCTACATGCTCTGATTGCCCTCACTCGGGACACCTCAGCACTCTGCAACATGGAGCCAGAGCTTCTCCGTGGCACTCTGGTGCATCTCTTGGACGCGTTGCTGCGAGTCTGGCTGCACTTTCTGCAGGTTTCCATCTGGGGGGAGTCCATTGGGCGGCTGTCAGTATCCAGAAGGCCCTGCGAGAGAGCTTCACCCTGAGGAGCACTAAGAGCCTCCCTGGTCTGCCCCACTGGGGACTTGTGCCTCATTCCTCCCTCATGTCCTTCCACTTACCCCTCCCTAACCCCCCTTCCTGATGTCAAATAAAATACATGTATTTTCATGATCTCAAATTCTCTTTATTTAACAAAACTGGGTAGGGGGAATGAAACTCTGGTGAGACTGGAGAAAGAAGGTGGGAGAAGGGAGAAGAGACGGTGGGGGGGGGGGACCTGGGAGGGAGGAGCGAAGAGACGGTGGGGGGGGGAACCTGGGAGGAGGGATCTGGAAGGGGGAAGCAAGAGAAAGAAGGGGGAGGGGAAGCTCGGGGTTGGGGGGTCTCACCGGACCAACCTGATTTTCATGCAAACCTGCTCCTGGGTTCGCATGTGGCCTTTGGTGGCCAGGCTGGCAGCTATCCTGCCGTAGACGGCCGGGTTCCTCCGTCTAATGCAGAGATCATAGACATTGGGGGCATTCCCCCCCAAATCTGAATAAGGTCCATGATCTCCACCCTGGACCAGGAAGGCGCCCACCTTCTATGGGCCCTGGCAGGCTCCTGGGAGTTGGCAGACTGCTCCTGGGGAGCGGTGGAGGGCTGGCTGCCGGTGGCTTGCTGGCTCCTGTTTTGGGGCCACTGGGTCAAGGGCAGTGACTGCTGGCTCTGGGCTGGCAGTCTTGGAGCTGGCACAGGCACTGTGGCCAGAGTTAACCCCTTTAAGGGCTCCGGGGAGGAGGGAGGGAGAGGAGTGTTCTTGGTTGAGGCTGGAGTGGCCACCAGAGCACCCTGGGAAGGCTGGAGGCACCTTATTTCAATATAAGTGTCTACACAGCACTTATTTCAAAATAGCTATTTCAAATTTGGTGTTATTTCTCGTGGGATGAGGTTTACCAAATTCGAAATAAGCACAGGCCTCAAAATAGCAGTTTGGCTGTGTAGGCACTAGTAAAGTTATTTCAAAATAACTCTGCTATGTAGACATACCCATAGAGACTTTGTGCCATGCCCAGGGGTGAATTTCACCCAGATTGCACACTATTCTAAACCACCATCCCCAAAACCAGTTGCTCTTTCCAGCAGTAAAGATGTACATGTTTCATGGCCCTGCAGGCTGATGTTGATTTTGTCCCACAGCAATCAGTAGATAATTTTCAAGATGACCTCTCTCATTGTCTTTATTCTATTTTAGTATTTACCATTATTAGGTGGAGCAATATTGAATTTCCCCCATTGTCTTCCAGTCTCAGTATTAAACAGTTAATCAATTAGCACTGAATTCTCCAAAGTTATTGATAATATCCTTTCCATCCAGAAGTACAAGATAATTAAAAATGCATTACATGCAATACACAGCATTCCAAACTAAGTGAAACACTTTGAAGAAAAAGTTTAAAGTTGCAGTATTATAGTCAAAACTTTGCACTACACTCAGTGCAGTATCTTGTTAGCAAAAACACAGCAAAATGACATTTCTTTTTTTCTGTTGGAAAGGAGACTTTTTTTCTCTCAAGAACTCTGATACACTTCGTCACAGCTGCCTTATATTAGAGGCACTCATATTAGAAAATTGAAGGTTTAAGATATTGATGTGAACTGGGCTGATGACACCTCATACTGGGACAATTTCTCAGATGTGTCACCTAAAAAGAATCGCTCAGGTCTGGCAATCTCCCCCATATCCTCATTCTTTTACAATCCCATTATATTTGCATTCAGAATATTAATTAAACTTATACTTTCCAGATTAAATCCACAAACTGCTCTCATATCCTATCTCACTATTTATAGTACACATGTTAAAATGACATCAGTGCCCTGACACAACTGAGGTAACTTTGTATTGAAAAGATAAAAACTGGAACCT